GCTGATGCTGCTGCTGCAACTGATGCTGCTGATGGTGCAGCAATTTTGGGGAGCCCAGGCCGATAGCGGCGTTTGCTGCTTGGGAGCCAAGTCTAAACCCTAAACCCTAAACCCTAAACCCTAAACCCTAGACCGTAGGCCCTAGACCCTTTGGGTGTGAAGGCTAGAACAGCTGCTGACAAAGCTGTGCTGGTGCTGGTGCTGCTGCTGCTGCTGTTTCTGCTGCTGCTGATGCTGCAGCTCGTGTTGCTGCTGCTGCTGCTGCTGTGGTTGCTGCTGGTGTCGGCGCAGGTGCTGCTGTTGCTGCAGCTGTATGAATGCCGCTGCTGCTGATGCTGCTGCTGCTGATGTTGTTGCTGCTGTTATTGTTTCTGCTGCTGCTGCTGCTTCAGCAACTGCTGCTGCCTTCTTGCTGCAGCGCTCGCCAACAGGAGCTAGCGTCCTTCTCAGGCCCTGGACGCTTAAACCCTAAACCCTAAACCCTAAACCCTAAACCCTAGACCTTAAACCCTAGATCATAAACCCTAAATATCACGTGTATTATAGAAATACACCAACTCGCGCTGCAGCAATGGCTGCTGCCTGTGCAGCAGCAACAGCAGCAGCAGCGCGAGCTGCTGCTGCTGCTGCTGCTGCTGCTGCAATCTCGGGGCTGGAGGACCGCATGCTGTCTGCAGCAAAACCCTAAACCCTAAACCCTAAACCCTAAACGCTTAATTTCTCTAATGATATATTGAGTTCTATTTAGGATCTATCTATTTATCTTTTGCTGCTGCCGCTTCTGCTGCTGTAGCCTTGCCGCGGAGTGCATGCCCTAAACCCTAATGGGATTTGGCTAAACCCTAAACCCTAATCTGTTATTTGTGTATATTAGTTTGTAACGAAGGCGTTTAAAGGCGCTTAATTTTTGTGTTTTGGGTTTCCCCGTATCCGCTCTCTCCCTGTTTGAGCTGTATTTTAGGGTTTAGGGTTTAGGGTTTAGGGTTTATAGTATGGGGTCTGAAGCAGCAGAGACCCGACTAAAGCGCACCCTTTATGTCGGGGGTTTAGCTGAAGAGGTGACTGAAGATATTCTTCGCGCCGCCTTCCTGCCTTTCGGCGATATCAGGGAAGCAACTATCCCTAAAGACAGAACCACAGGTATATTTCCTGCTGCTGCTGCTGCTGCTGCTGCTGCTGCTGCTGCTGCTGCTGCTGCTGGTGCTGGTGCTGCTGCTGGTGCTGGTTCTGCTGTTGTGGCTTGTGTTGTTGCTGTGGTTGCTGCTGATGTTCTTGCTGCTCGTACAGTTACTGCTGCTGCTGCTGCTGCTGCTGCTGGTTCTGCTGTTGTGGCTTGTGTTGTTGCTGTGGTTGCTGTTGCTGTTCTTGCTGCTCGTACAGTTGCTGCTGCTGCTGTCGTTACTGCTGCTGTTGCTGATCCTGCTGCTACCGCTTCTTTTGCTGCTGTTGTTGCTGCTGCTCTCTGTGGACGAGCTGCTGCAGCAGAAGCAGCAGCAGCTGCTGCTGTTTCTTTTATTAAAATACTCCTGTTGTTGCTGCCGCTGTAAAGGGATTTGGGATTTGGGATTTGGGATTAAACAAAAGTCCCCCGGTGGCTCCCAAACCGAAACAGCTCAAGCTCCTCCATCTCCTACGCCTCGTGGCGGTAAACCCTAAACCCTAAACCCTAAACCCTAAACCCTAGTGGTTACCTATTAGCTTAGCTACAAATGAGGTCTGCAAGTACATACGTCTATGCATTGAGGGTTAATGAGGATTTGAGTATTCAGTCTAGGGCTTAAGGTTTTAGGGTTTTAGGGTTTTAGGGTTTAGGGTTTAGGGTTTAGGGTTTAGGGTTTGCAGGTGCTGAACATGCACAACTCGGAGTTATACGGGCGGACGCTGCGCGTCAACACATCGCGACATGGTCCCCAAGGGGTACCCAAAAACAGAGCAGGTCTGCTGCTGCTGCTGCTGCTGTTGCTGCTGCTGCTGCTGTTGCTGCTGCTGCTGTTCTTGTTATTGTTGCTGCTGCTGATGCTGCTGCTGTTGTTGTTGTTGTCGCTGTTGTTGTTATTGTTGCTGTTGTGTTGCTGTTGCTGCTGCTGTTGCTACTGCTGCTATTATGATTGCTGCTGCTGCGCTGCGTGTGTT